CTTTAGCTCTTCTATATTAAGCATTTCGTTTCAAATTTGGTTTTGTTTTGTGGTTGACATTTTGTGATCTCCTTCTTTCTGTTTGGTTGTGGATTAGATTAAACCGATGGTAACCTCTCTACCTGTCATTTGACCGTAAACCCAAATCTTCTTATAATCAAGAGAGTGACTATAAAACGAGCTTATTATCTTATGAGATGCTCATTATCGACAATGAAAGTTCAATGCCTCAAGGAGCTAATGCTCGGTATACTTTAGCAAAAAAAAAAAAAAAGAAAAGGGTATTAACGGAATTTTAACGTTTTCATATATATATAAAAAAAAAAAAAGTCAAATAAATTTGGAAAGCAAAGTCTATAAAGATATGTTGCAAAGGTCAAACGTTCTTACCCACTCCCCAACGAGGAAAGATTCTCATTGGATTCGGATCCAACAAAGTCCGGATAAGACCCGATATTTGCAGGTGACCTGGATCCGAATGGGTCAAACAAACCCGCTATTTCCCCTTGACCCGGATCCGAATGGGTCCAACAAAGGTAAAGTTTGTGCCTTTTTGCATTCATTTTGCCACTCCCCTCTCTCCCCTGTACCTACTCTCGCTTTTACAACTACAGGGAGCCGGTAATTCTCCTCCCGGCTCTTTCCGGGACTCCGTCCCCCGCCATTTTTTCTGATTTGGAGCTCCCATCCCTTCAATCTCTTAGCCGATCGGCTCCCAAAAGCATTTCCGGGTGCTCGGGCTGTTGATTCCGAAGCTTCTGCTTGTTTAATTGCACGGTAAACGGAGTTGTTCAATGGGTTCTTCTTCTTCAGGTGTGTTTGCCTTGAACTGAGTTGTTTTCTGTTTTCTTTTCTAGGTTAAAGGTTGTAATGAGTTCCTCTTTTTCTTCTTTTTAGTGAAGCTCGATTTTGGTGCCGTGTGGTTGTTGTCCTGTTTGGTTGAGCTGTCTTTTTGTTTTCTGGAATTATTTTTCGCGTTCAAGTCCTGTTTTTCATGGATTAGCCATTTAAAGATGCTTACGCCGCCGATTCGCTAGAGCTCTAAAAAGGTTGCCATATAACTGGTTTGTGTATTGAGAGAGAGAGATTCATGTGTTGGTTCTGATTGTCTAGGGTTTCTGAATTGTGACTTTCCTGCATTAAATTTTTGTGTGCTTGGTCTTGCATAGTTCGTGTACTTTGGTTCTGTATTGCAGTCTATACTCGACATGTAGCATGTGAATAGTTACTTATTAAACTTGGCATTTCTTCAAGATAACAATCTTTTGAGCTTCACTTTTACTCTTCCAACTTACAATGCAATTCAAGTAGTCTTCTCCATTAGATTTTGCAATTTCATAGAGAAGTTATCCCTTTGTTCTGATGGGATGTTTGTAATGCCATCTTAATATTTTGGTTCTTATATTGAACTCCACAAGATCAGTTCAGACTTTAGAGAAAAAAGGAATCATGTTATTGTTCTTCAATGTTTCCTGCACAAAGATTGCTATTCGAATCTGGAAAATATGACAATTGAATTGCATAGTATTTGTGATCATCCTGCAAAATATGGCATTAGGTGAATTTATAATGGCTGTTATTCGCTTTAAAGCATGCTAAAATGAAGTGATTCCTTTTCCTATGAGTTATGTTGCCTTTATCTTATTTAGTGTCTTGCTAAATTTAGAACCCTGTGCTTGAAGGTGGTATTGGCATATTTAATATGCTATAGAGCATTTTTCCACGAACTCAGCAAACTACAATTGGGAATTATTTTGCTTACATCATGTCCCCTGGAGGTTAATCGAATGATGGACTGCTTTCGTACTGTAAGTTATCCGAATGGTAGGTCTGCTTTCCCTGCCAAGGCTGGCCTTATCTTTAAGCTAGCATTGAATCTATATTTTAGAGGACTCTCTTTCTATTGTTATGTTATTATAATTAAGCACTTCTATTTGTTTCATTGATCTTTGGAATATTATTCGATGCGGAGACGCAATGATCAAGTGTACTAAAATGGAGTACATCTAATTGTCATTTCTTAAGTAGTTCAAAATGATCTAAATTTTTCATGATGGCATCTCTTGTTAACGCTTAAGTAATTCCTCGGGATAGTGGCATATGAAATACTGAATGCTGGTTATTACCTAATTTCAGGTAATATGTGCCACCGATTACTATTGTTTGTCGTCTGGATATCCAGTTTTCATGATGGAGTTGTCTTATCTACTCTGGTACAGCATAGTCTTGTTTCGTCCACAAGAGAGCAGGCTCAGTCACCTAGTAGTGTTGTCTTTGATCCTATAGAGATATCACCTGCAGTTATCCCACAATACCCTTATCCCAATGATTCTTTGCCTCCAATGTATCCAACTTTTCCTACCAGATATGAACCAGTTTTAACTGGAAGATGCCCTGTAAATTTCTCTGTCATATCAAATGTTATGGACAAAACAGCATCAGATTGTTCTCAGCCCATGGCAGCACTTGTAGGAAATGTTATTTGCTGTCCACAACTAAGTAGCCTGCTCCATATCTTCCAGGGTTTCTATGGCTTAACCTCTGATCGGTTGGTTTTGCAAGAGGCAGTTGCTAATGATTGTTTTTCAGATATCATTAGCATCTTAGCCAGCAGAGGAGCTAATCAGACGATACCTTCTCTTTGCTCGGTCAAATCTTCAAATCTTACTGGTGGGTCATGTCCAGTCACAGACGTTGCAACGTTTGAAAAATCAGTTAATGTAAGCAAATTATTAGATGCATGCGATACAGTTGATCCTCTAAAGGAGTGTTGTAGACCGATATGTCAGCCTGCTATCATGGAAGCTGCACTTCAGATTTCTGGAAGGCAATTTTCTATGGATACCAATAGTAACTTGGCAAGGGAACCGAATCATATTGATTCAATAAATGATTGTAAAAGAGTTGTCTATTCATATATTTCTAGGAAACTCTCCTCCGATACTGCCAACGCTGCATTTCGAATATTATCTGCCTGCAAAGTGAACAAAGGTTAGATGCTTGTTCATATTTATTGGAATATCAGTTTGTCCATTTTTCTTATAATATTCTTCCCCTTTCCTAATTATAGAATGTGCTTGTCTTAAAGTATTCCTATTCCTTGCCTTATTTGAAATGTGTATGTTCTGTACAGTTTGTCCTTTGGATTTTGAGCAGCCCTCAGAAGTAATTAAAGATTGTCGCAATGTTGCTGCTCCTAATCCCTCATGCTGCAGCTCATTGAACACTTACATTGCTGGGATCCAAAAGCAAATGTTAATTACAAACAAACAAGCTATAATCTGTGCAACAATGTTCGGGTCCATGTTGCGAAAAGGTGGGGTTATTACAAATGTTTATGAGCTGTGTGATGTCGACTTGAAAGATTTCAGCATTCAAGGTATTGATACTTGCTGCATTGTTAATATAATTTTCCTTCATCGTCGCTGTTTCTATCTTATCTAACATTCCGATTTATTTTGTGCATCGGCGTGGCATCTGAAATATAGCCTATGGACAGCAAGGTTTGCTATTCTTCCCTGATTTGTACCTTTTTTTTCTTTTTATTATAGTGATTGATACTCTCTCTCTAAATAATGTGTATATGTGTTGAAATTCTCTGTCTTTGTTCTTTTTCGAAATTTAGGATGTCTTCTTCGGAGCCTGCCTTCAGATGTGATATTTGACAATTCCACGGGCTTTAGTTTTACCTGTGATTTGACTGATAACATTGCAGCACCGTGGCCTTCGTCGTCCTCAATTTCTACACTGTCTCTTTGTGCGCCCGGTAATTGATAAAAAGGAGACTAATTTTTGCTCTGTTGCTTATTACACTTAAAAGTTTGAAATGAGAGTTTTATTAATCGACAAGTTTGTATTATACTTGCACAGAGATGTCATTGCCTGCTCTACCAACAACAGAGACTAAGAGAAACCATGGTGGGTGCCATTACTCTACGGACTTTTTCTTTGTGAACTATTTCCTTTTGATATATTCATGATGGTGGGAAGGATAGGATTAAAGGTAGCTCCATCTATGCTGTGGCACTAACATGTTAAGCTTATCTTGTCTAGCAATCAAACTGGAATGGTCTTGATTTCATATTTATCTTTCTACAAATCATATCAAACTTGCATTAGTCTTCAAGGATCCTATGTACATTTGCTTATTAGAGATCTGACTAGTATCTACGACGAGTTCGGTATGTCTTTTTAGGATAGTGAAAACATGCTCTTGGCCTGTTTCTCATATTTTTCATGGTATTTGGTTATATTTTCGACATGATACAACATGCAATGGCTGAATCATTTCTCGGTTTTTTTTTTTTTTTGTTTTTTTGGCTATGATCAAGTGTTGTGTCCGTTGTTGTTGATCTGATTTGTCCTGTTTGTTGGCTTACATTTGATGCAATGGCTGAGTTGTTTGTGTGAAATGATATTATGTGCAGGCCAGCGTGAGGAAGGATTGGAATTCCCAATGCTCATTTTTTCATTTTTTATTATGATCAGTGCATTTTTGTACTGAGTTAGATCTAGATGAAGATGTTCTGTGGTGTTGTTCAATGTTTGGGGGGCATCTTGGGAATTTTACCCTGGATTTTTGTATGTATATTTTGAGTCTTGTGTATAGTAGTAGCTCTTTGTTGTTGTTGTTGTTATTATTATTATTATCATTATTATTATTATCATTATCATTATCATATCATCATCATCATCATTTTGTAATCTCTCTCTGTGTCTCTCTTTTGTTGCATGATGTTGGAGGAGAGTTAGAATAAAACTTGGTTCCATACTTCTTTTTTGTATCAGAATATGGTTTAAGATATTTATAATCCACCGTTCATACAGTGGAATCCACAACTATTTATGATATAATTGTGTTCTTCAAGTTTATTTTCTCGAACTCCCAAAAGGGATTATAAGAATGACGACGCATTTTTCAATGGTATCCGTGTATATTTTTTCAAATTCGAAGTTTGTGGTTCTAACATCTTAGATCAAACACCACCAAACAAAAAAAATTTAAAAACAAAACAATACTAAACCCGACAACCCAACGAACCAGTAAACTGTTATTTCAAGTCAGATAACAGATTTACCATTTCATTATGATCTTCCAGAACAAAAAATTATAACCAAAAACGTGGCCAAGGCCAAGACCGATGCCCGACAGTTCCCCTCGTGAATAACAGAAGAATTCTGCTGATACGAGCTTGGGGACACATCTCAGTTCCCTGTTCTATTATGATCTTCCAGTATCATTCTTGATTTGAGAATAACCTATAATGAAGTAATTGACGACGACAAGCTGTAGAGATGGCGACTTGTTGAAGATATTGACTAATTATATAGAGATGGCGACTTGTTGAAGATATTGACTAATTATATAGAGACATTGTTACCATATTAAGAAACACTGTTCATTTAATGACCACCGTTTGGCCAAACATTATCCCATGAACCTTCAGGAGCTGCCTTTGGACCCTCGAGCAAGTTCCGGCCTTGATGAGGATGGGGCACTCCAGGAAGAGGAAGCCCATCAGGGCCTACTTGTCCAACTTTCCTAGGTTTGGTTTTAATCCCAAGCAGCCTCAAGACAAATCTAGCAAGCTCTCCGTATAACATACCCGAGCGATCGAAAAGCTGTCACAAGAATAATACATCATGAGTAAGAACACATGTTATTTCTTTATAAAGAAAACCCATATATCTACATCATGTACAACTCAAGGTAGCATCTAGATCACAATCAAATATCCACGTTCTTTTTGGTACGGTTCTGAGCATCTAGAAGTAGGATTGGTAAACATCTATCATTAATGAGGATTTAAGTTCCAGTTTTCATTTTCATGTCACCGCTTTGAAAATGAAACATCTACCATTTCTGTTGCTTTTACAGTCTTTTATGTTTTAAGTTGACGGATCTTTAAATAGGTATCGTTGTTGTTGGTATTCAGCATAATCTATGAAACATTTATAAAGTAAGGGTGGTAAGTAAAAAGGACACACGCACACCTGAAGTAGAGCAGACATGAACATATGGAACGCCTGTGTGTTTTGGTCAATAAGAACAGATATTCGACCGAAGCAGTTCACAACACCATGCATCTGCAGAGAAGTAAAACGGTGAGAATTCAGGAGTTCAAATATGAACGTCAAATAATCTTTATCAATTCACCCTTAATTCTTAAAGTAATCAAAAATAGAATTTTAAGAAGTACTTATTTGAAAATAAGCACTTTCAAGAGAATAAAGAAAAATTTAGGAAAACTATTTTTGGTTTTATTAGATTGCATTGTTTGCAACTTGACACAATAAAACAGACTAAGTATGAGATCCCACCTCCGTTGGAAAGGAGAACGAAACATTCCTTGTAAGGGTGTAGAAATCTCTCCTAGCAAATGCGTTTTAAAACAGTGAGACTGACGGCGATACGTAACAGGCCAAAGCGAACAATATCTGTTAGCGATGGGTTTGGACCATTACAAATGGTATCAGAGCCAGGCACCAGGCGGTGTGCCAACGAGAACGTTAGACCCCGGGAGGATGGTGAGATCCCATATTAGTTGGAGAGGGGAACAAAGCATTCCAAATAAGGGTGTGGAAACCTTTCCCTAATAGATGTGCTTTAAAACCTTAAGGAAGCCCAGGAGGGAAAGCCCAGAGAGGACAATATTTGCTAATGGTGGTTTGGATTGTTATAAATGGTATTAAAGCCAGACATCGTGGCAGTGTGCCAGCGAGGACGTTGGTCTCCCAAGGGGGGAGAATTGTGAGATTCTACATCAATTGGAGAGGGAACGAAGCATTTATAAGGGTGGTGTGCTAGCGAGGACATTGGTCTCCCAAGGGGGAGAATTGTGAGATCTCACATCAATTGGAAAGGGAACGAAACATTTATAAGGATGTGGAAACCTCTCCCTAGTAGATGCATTTTAAAACCTTGAGGAAAATCCGATGAGGGAAAGCCTAAAGAAGACAATATCAGCTAGCAGCGGGATGGGGATGTTACATTAAGCTAATAAACATCAGAACAATGGATAATTGTAACGGTAAGCTAACCAAACCTTACAATCCCGTCCACCCAACCAAAAATAAATAAACAAGGGTGATGATAACAGAGACAAGAAAATAGCTTACCACTCGCAGAAATGACATCCAAAATCCTGGAGGAGATGAGGGAGGGCCATATGGGTTATTTGGATCTTGACCACCATAAGGACCACCCATCCCCATTCCATAACCACCCATTGGACCTCCAAAGCCACTATTATACATTCCACCTCCATACATACCAGAAGATCCATAACCTCCACCATAACCTCCTCTATACATGCTGTTCCCATACATCCCACCGCCATAAGACGAAGAACCATACATACCAGAACCATAAAGTGAATTATTCATTGTTGAACCATAGGCTACATTAAGCAAAACAAAAAGAAATCTCAGAATCCATAGAACAAGTAGTAAAGCAGACGAAAAATTAAAAACCTAACCTCCTCCATAAGTGGTATTCCCATAGTTTTGCTCCCAAGGTCTCGTTGGAACAGGCCTACCAAGTGAGTTCCTATTAACAGTGGCAGTCCTATCAGAATTAGATACGATTTCTCCAGGTCTTGCAGTCCCAGAAGCCTCAACTACCTCACTTGTATTGCCAGCTGATGGGGGTTTAAACGGTGCTGGGCCCGACGATCCCCCTACTTGTTCCCAAGGTTTTGGTGGAGGATTAGAAGCTGCAGTAATAGAAAGTATGGCCACATAATCAGCAAATTGAAAATAAACCAAACTTCTAAAGCAAACATATTTCGAGATCATCCAACAGAAGCAAAATTAACTGGCAGGAGAAATAGATGCCTTCAGCGGTAAACATGATTGATTCAGATCATAGTTTCAAATATAAAAGGCCAATGGGGACACGCATACACGAAATCCATCGGTAGTTCATCCAACGCGATATTTTTTCAGAATCAATGGTACACTTACTCCATAAAAACACAATCCAGCAGAACGTAGTTAATTCGTCCATTAAAATGAACGCAGCGCAAAGCAAATAGTGCACCCACATACCACATCATCATGAGACCCATCCTTGAACGCCAAAACTGGAAGCAAGCAAGGTCACACCAGACAACTTTTCGGATATTAATCGACAAGAAAATTCGACCCTAAAACAAAGGGAAGCAACAAAAGAACAATCCGAGCTAGGGTTTTATTATTCAAGAAGAAAAGGGTATGTGATTAAGACGCCGAAGTCTCTTTCGAGAACCCAATTAAGCACAAGTACTTCATCAAATTCCAAGACGCATTATACAATCCACAAGGAATCAAGAATTCGAGCAGAGAAAACCATAACCACAAGCCGACCTCAAAAGCCTAGTGGAAATAATGAATAGAAGAAAAAAGAGGGAAGAATCTCGCAAACCTGCAGGCTGAGGAGGCTTGGAATCCATGGAAGTGGCAGAGAAATTGCAATCAGAAATAGGGAGAGATCAAAGTCTCTCGCTCAAAGGAGGTCTAAAAACACACCAAACACGAAGAAATCCGTCAGCTTATGGGCGGAAATTTATTGGTAGGAAGGATCCAATCCGGGTCGGCCCCAGTCTTCCCGGAAAGCTTCGATTATCATTTCAACTTTTCGGGAAAAGGAAAAAACAAATATAAACCAACGCGAAAAACGTTCTTATCCCCTCGTTCTTGGACCCTTCCTCTCTCTCTCTCTCTCTTAGTTATTTATATCTATTTCATATTCATGAAGTTTGAAAGACTCGTACATTTTCTTGCAACCACGAAGAACTCATACATTTCCTCTCAACTTAATCGGTCTACATTTCTTGCAACCACGAAGAATTTATACAAAAACTATCAAATTTTTTTGAAGGTTTGTAAAATAACCTAAACAAAGTTAAACATTCCTGGATTTTTTACTTTTTCTCTTTTGCCTTTTGTATTCTTCATATAGCTGCAAAGACAAAGTGGTACGCTCCAATTCAGCTCTCAACCTTTCATTCTCCTTGATGTCCCGGAGAAGAAAGAATCTTGTTGAAAGTTTCTCTTTCACTTCATTTTCGTCGATGGTGCTGCAAGTATCGGGAGTAGGCTCGGATTCCCTGCCTCTTTTTTTCTTGTTAACTTTTCGGACATTAAACTGTGGGTTGAAAGACTCATGTTCCAGCGACAAGTCTTTGAATGCCTGTTGAGGAGAAACAGTGGAGATATAAACTTGGTTTTGAGCATTATTCATGCTTGATATGCTCGCTGCCATCGTTGAGATAGTTGGATGATAATGCTTCCATAGAAGATTAAGTTCCCAAAGGACAGAAGCAAGCGCGCCACTCAATGTTGGGTCAGAAGCATATGGTTGATATTTCTGCATATCAAGTTAGCAAAAATTAGTCTCTCTTTCCTCCTTTGAGCAGGGTTGAGGTGGGATGATTCAATCAATGGTTCAATTTCGCAGGCAAATCATTATATGTAAATTATATCAAAAGCATATTTTGGAAAGCTACATTCTTTGGTAATTTTTTGTTTGCTCGCGTTCAAGAAATTCGGAGGGATAAAATACAGAGATGAGCAGCACAAATGAAGATTCATCATGAAAAACCCGGTGTAATGAGAGAGTTATAATGAAACCTTACCGCTATTGAGCCAGACACTGAACCTCCCCCAGCATCGTTTTCCAAAAGGTTGCGGCACTTGACATTTTTCAGAAGAAGATGCCTTACGGTGACCAAGGCTGTAAATAGCCACCACATATACAAGGTTAAATAAAAGTCATGAAAATATTTTTCAAAACTAAAAGGAATTTACAAGCTTCTTAATATACCTGCCATCGACTCTGCAGATCCAATGCATAATGAGAAAGTAGCCAAACGCTTAATGAATGCAGCTGCCTTTTGCATGTCATGCTGTCTATCATCGCACAACATTATCTTCAAAGCTTCAGCTAACAATCCACCATGATCTCTGTGATTGAAACTTGAATGACGTTATCAGAGAACTTGTTGTAATGAAGAGAATAAATAGTAAAATAATCCTTGGAACAAACATTAACCAGGCTTGCTTTTAAAAGAACCAGCAACAATTTTAGCATTATGGTTTAGAGTTCAGCACTAACCTTCCAGGCCTGTACTCGAGTACAATATTGTACAGCTGGACAAAAAAGTCCTGAAGATCAACATTCAAAGCATCAAGGTTTTTCCTCATTACTTTAAATGCCACGATGCAACACTGAAGGCGCTCAGAAACGGTCAAACATTGTGACTGTTTCTCAGAAGATTTATCATCACCAGAAGCAAGCCTTTTTAGATAATTCATAAGATCTCCCATGAAATCTAAATCGATCAGATGAGAAAATTTCCCCAACCCATTCAAACATGGAGCAAGCAGAGGGTGGGATCCAGATGGGCTAGTAGTAGATGCAGTAATATTTGCTTCAGGCCTTCAATATAAATGAAAGATACTTGGTTCAGCAGTCTGAGTTGCGTAAGATGAAACGTACATTGAAAAACAATTCAAAATACATGAAGATACAAAGACACCAAAGCTTCCATGAATCAACATGCCTGATGAAATTAAAATTTTCAAGCTTAAGGACAATTCAAGCGGATCAGTATCCCTACACCAACATCCAGTCAAAACTCAACCTAAAAGAGGGAGCCTCCCTATCTAGGGTATATACAAGGATCAATTGATTTAACTTTTAAGAGTAGTTTCCCATTAGCATCAAGCTTAAAAAAAGGAACTGAACTGAAACAAACAAATGGTATGGTTTGCTCTTGTTTAGTTATGTACCTTTTTCTGGAAAAAGTAAAACACCAATCTTTCTTCATATTTGTACAGTAATTGAAAAGTTTAGTTCAACTCAAAAGATAAAAGTTATATTAGAGATGCGTAAAATGATTCATAATATTTTAATTAAATTGAAGTACAGTTAAATGAATATTAAAAGAGATTTCATGCCATCTTGCTCACTCTTGTACATGCACAAGCACATAAAAGTACTTGGACATTTTTCTGTAAGCCCGAATTGTTGAAGAAAACACAAACCAATGCAATACAAACAACGTGCAAGCTCTAAATAATAATAACTTACCTAGCCTTTAATGACTGCATTGTATGCCTTAAGATTCGGAAATATGTTTCAAATACAGCACGAAGTGTATCTGACTGCATCTCTCTTTGCTTCATCACATCTGGAGCAAGAGAAGCAGCCCTGTAATCCGCAGCAACCTATGAGAAACATCACAAACATTCATCCTTTACCAGCTAAAAGGATGCCAAATCAATTGAGAAAGGGAAAAAAGAAATTAATAGGCAACAGTAATACCTCTTCATTAAACTTTGTCCTCGTACTTTGTCTTCCATCATTCCCTTGCGAATGACTTGATTGCTCGCGATTCTTTTTTTCCTCACGATTCTTTTTTTTCCATTGTTTTTTGTTCTTTACTTTATTATGCTCATCTTGCTTTTCTGCTCTTCTCAGATCCTCGTCAAATGTTAGATGCATGAAAGGCTGGAAAAAGTTGCGAACAGGAAACTTTGAGAGGAAAAAAAAAAAAAAAACCTAAAGAAATAGACTGCACTTCAAAGTTTCATTTCAACAACAAATGAGTCAGTGCCCATGCCTTGGGATTAACAATTGAAAATTTAAAATAATTTAATATCTGGAAACCACACGTGATATAGCTTTCAAGCACATTTTTTAATAACTAGGCTTCAAGCTCATTTGATCCTTGTGTGATCAAACCAGGCTAGTTCCCCGTATTTTTATAAGTTCATCTGTGAAAGACTTGAAAGACAACAAAAACCAAAATTGTAGCTGAACCACAGCTAATGTAACTCATGTCATCCCAACCTTGACTCAGGCATCTTCCATTGAACTTTTTATCCAGATGCAGAGGGCTCTAAATTTAAGAAGTTACTACGAAAAAAACAAATCCCATATTTCATGGCCATATCATGCACACACATGCAATGAGGTGGTGTGAGGCAGAAGCTCCAATAACTTTTTTTTAAAAAAGGGACCGAGTAAATTGCATATAATGTATAACCATGAGTCACTAAACAAAAAAAAAAAAAACAGCCCGAGAAAAAGGGGAATTAAAGAAGTGGATGTCTACATTTTGAAAATAGACTGTATTGTTTCTCTAACAACTACAAGAGCAGCAAAAACTTAGCTTCAATATGTTTGCGTCAAGGCATAAACTTCTAAAAGAAAGCATGAGCCTCATATGCTTACAAAAAGGGGGTAAGCATGAGAATTCAAACCTGGATGGAATCAGGATGCAATTGGCAGTCATGAAATTTCACATGATCAGCAATCAACCGGACAGCCTCCACAGTCGCTTCACCACCATGCTTTCCCTCATTGATAAATAAAGACTCAATAGCACCACTACAGAGTTTTCTGCCAATCCAAAAATATCATTTGAGCATAAATGTTGGAGCATATCTAGGCAGAGAGAGAAAAAAACCCAGGATTGGGAGAAAACACATGCACACTTTCAAAACCCAGGAACAGAAAAGATGCACAAACTAAGAAATGCACAATTTCACAATTTCAGGAACAAATGAGCCATTCGTTGATGATGTGAAAATTAATAAATACATAAACTTGACTGCACTATTTTATTCTTAAAATTTTTAAGATGTAATAACAAGAATGAATATAAAATTTCTTATTTCAATATTCGTTCACGAAAAGAAAGATAAATAGAGGCTAACCTTACAACATCATCAGGGGAGCTTATATTTTGAACAACAATGCCCAACAATGTCTCTCGAAAATTGAAGTGGGGAACTGCATCAAGCAACGTACAGATACAGCGAATAACAATATGCTGAAATGCCGTAGATTTCTCTAATGACATCAGCTTCTGCAGGTATCCCTGGAAAATTTTGTGCAAAAAAAATATCAACAAGCAAAATTAAGTTTGAACACATTAAAGGAAATCGTCTTTAATAAAAAGGCATCGAGATCCCCAATTATTCGAAGCAAAAAATCAAGAAATTTCAGTGGTCACATGATGTAGAAAACGTGCACTTCATAAATAATATCATACAAAGATCTAATCACATGCCACAAGTGAACCGAAGGACTTGATCGAGTATAAAGAAAGGTAGAGTTGTGAAAATTTCCACTGATTTTGATTTCTGAAAGTGTTCTATTGAAAAACAACATTCCAAACCATAGAAGACAAGACTACATGGAAAGATGAAAATAAATAGGAGAACAAACCTTATAAGTAGTGAGAAGAGTGTACTCATAGTACCGCATTTTCTTGACATCCTTGGATACTTTAACTTCTAGCTCCTTTTCTGTTGGAAGCCGAATCCGATAACTGTATGTGCATTCCACAGTATAGAAATTTTAGAATAATAATTTCTGGAATCAAAATATATTACTATTATATTACATTATAATAATTACTTGTTATAGCTAAAGATAATTTTTTTATTATGGAATGAAATTATATGGTTTTTCCTTTTTCATTGCACACAAAAAAAAGTAAATGATGCAATTAAAGACGAACAAACAAATATATTATGAACTATTAAAAAGAGCAAGAGGAATAAAATCAGTGTCAAACCCAGGTATGATGTCTTTAAAGACAGCCAATAATGATAGAAGTCCAAGTTTCACAATTGCTGGATCATTATCCTTAACAATCTGTAGCATCTCCTTCAGAAATTTAATATTGGAATTTGGGTCTGCCAGCAACGCAATTCCAAGCTCCGCAAGTTTCTGCTTCTTACTTTCAAATGTCTTTTCAGCAGTAAGATCTTCTACCACTTCCGCCTTAACAGAGAAATATTTAACAAAACAAACGTATGAGATCGAGAGAGTAGTTTCCAGGTCTAGAATCACAAGGAGATTAACGACAAATGCAAGGATCAAACATACAATTATGGAAAGGAAATCTCATATTAGACAGTAGCACATTGAACCAGTGTACATGAATCCTACATGGCAGTTCCTAATCTAAGAAGCACGGACACGAGAAACAACACAACACAACACAGATAAGGCAACATGTCAATTTCTTAAAAGTAGAACACAAACACATTCACATTCGTCACCTTTGTTATATAAAGTATATGTATATTGTCATTTTAATATTTGTTTATAGACAAAGCATGCAAGTTTAACATAAAAACAAAATATACTTCACCAAAAAGATACAAAGTTAGTTCAATTAACGCTATTTGAAATCTTAAAAGATATACATAGATTTACTTCGTTATGACTAGAGGATGAAGATCTCCTCCTAATACTTTTGGATTGTTTCTTTTTCCAAATTTATAGGTTAAATATTTTCTAGAGCAATATCCAAACGTAGCTGTATCCAAAATTAAAAGGAAAAAAAAAATTAGTATTCATGTGTCCGGACATGTGTCGGACATGTGTCCGGACATATCTATGTCCAACACAGACACTTTACTGAAAACAAAATGTTCATGCTTCATAGCTTCTAATTGCCGGTAGAACAAATACTGATACAACATTTTGTCCTTCAAGAAAAGAGATAATTAAAGAAACCGAATCTGAGGAGAAATTAAACTAGTCTATTAAAATATCGCATGATAGACAGATTTGGTAGGTAAAGGATATCCCTCGGAACAGTCCAATGTTACTTGTTATAATTCTTTCAGGAACTACCCTTTATTTTTATTACTAGCAATTGTGGCAACCCTGTATATTACTTTTATTACTAGCAATGTGGAAGCCACATGATTTGTGTGGCCGTGGCCTTTTGTGGCCACTTACTTTTTTTTTTTTATTTCAACTTTGTGAAAGATGGTTTTCAACTTGAAACAAACTCAGTAATAGGATATTATACGAACATTTTCCTATTGTATTAAGAGCCAGTCAGACAAGCAGAGGCCGAAACCAAAAAAAATTCTTGTCTACCAGCTTAACAAGCCCACGATTTTTTTTTTTTTAATAAGAAAAAACCCACGAGTTGAGGTAATTTCAATATCTTTTTTATGAAAAAACTAGTGACATTATCTCATGCAACAGTGCTATAAAGGAGAAGGAGAGTGAAATCGCAGAAGAATACCAAAACGGCTGCTTGAGGGGTTGGTTCAACTTCTTCAGCTTTGGTTACATCCTCTTGTTTCTTGGCAACCTTTTTAGTTTTCTTCAGCTTTGCCCTCCTTTCCGCTTTAGTTAACTTCAATACACCATTATCTACCCTGTCCTCTTCCGTTGCCTCTTCGTTCCCACCATCCTCAGGTGCATCAGATGTTTTTGCTGCAAGCAGTAAGAGAGTGAACATGCAAATGTAGCTGGAAGTAATATGAGACAACGAAGACAAGTAGGACATACATGTCCGGTAGTAAAGTTCCCCCTCAAGTGTTTTGACAGGAAGAGCATCCACGCGATCAACCTGGGTCTTATTTTCCTCCTCCGGTTTCGGCAGTGGCTTCTTGCGCAGACGCTTCTCGTATAAAACCTCCAAAGCATCTTCTTCAACATTAGCAACACGTGTAACATGCCTTCAAGAACAATAAATTAAAATGTTCAGCACATAATTTACTCAGTAATATTCTTACCGGCTGTCCTAAGGACCACAGAAACTATAATTTTCACTCTCTCGTTACGTAAGGCAGCAACGAAAAAAACACAATTCAAAAAGTAGCTCATGGAATTTTAATACAAACTTGGTAATGGATTTAGTGTCTAGACGAGTAACAGAGACGGCATAGTCCTGGTTCTCCTTGACAAACTCCAAATCCTCATCGGAGACCTCAATTTCTTCCTCGGTAACCTCTGGTGGAAGGTCCGGCGGTAGAATTACCTTCTGTTTCTCGTTATTACGTTTCTTCCCCATAGCCAAGGCGAAATGAAAGCCTGCTTGGAGTAGTGAGAGATTAACCCTGTTCGGAATTCCAGAATTTGGAAGGAGTTCAAATCGGTTGAAGTGTTCGGATCAAAACAAAAAGGGCAAGAAACATTAAATCAGTCGTGGTTTGCATTTTATTGATTAATTGAATCATTCTTTGTAACTTATGAGGAAAACACTCTTATTGTTCTGTTTTCATTTAGATTCATTGAACATTGGTGGAAGAATAAATCAACAAAAAAAAAAACTTCATTTCCTTCTCCGTGGGTGAAGTGAATAAACCAACATAAAGCCAACCAAACAAAACAACAACAAAAACTAAAACTAAAACCTGACGCGGGTAAAATGCTGCTGAACCACTGAGTTTCTGAAATAGAGGGAGAGGAAGGAAGCAGCGGGAAGGCTGAGAGTGCAGACTGCGGCGGCGACCGAGACAGCGTCGGGCAGGAAAAACCTGCAGGGTTCGGGGTAATGGGTAGGAGGGATGCCTGAACGTTAAATAGGGTTTTGAAGTAGGGTTTTGAAACAGAGTAATAACGATAAAGAATTAATATTGCATTTGGTATCTAAAATTTAAAAGTGTATTTTTAGAATTTACTTTTTATTTACTAATTATTTCATTGGCCCATTTAAAATAATAATAATTTAATTATTTAGAACTTATATTACATTAATTTCCTTGTCCAGATATCACAGCTACCAATAACAAACTTTATTTATTCAGAACTTATATTACAGAAGAAAAAAAAAAATGATCACAGAGTAAGGAACTAAGCCTTCTTTTAAACAGAATGCTTTCATTCCCCCCTAAATCAAACACATCCCCTTCCTAACTTATCATTTACAAGCCTATTCATTCAACCTATAAGTAGAACTTATTTCCTGATTCCCCTAAGCTTATAAAACAACATGGTCGTGCTGAGTCAGCACGACGTTGAGCTGCACCTCGACTTGCCCCAAATATTGGTGTGCTATCGACGAGAGCTCAGTGTTGATGAAGATACTCTTTCATGTGAACCGTGGTGGTCTCTACGTGATAGCAGCATGATCAACCTTCCTTTCGTAGTGACATGTTGGTTTGAGGGTTATCCAATACTTGTTAGGAACATCCAGAGAGGAAGCAACTACTGCTACCTGAACTGCCCACAGCACACGCGATTTCACGGACGAGAAACTTCACATTTCTCGTGCCGATTTCGTCCATCACCTCGAGACATTCCTGTAAGTCTGAATTGCTTACTAGCATCACCCATTCTTTTTCATCGTCTAGGTATTTGAGTTGAAATGTTCCTTGGTTTAACTTGAATCGCATGCCAACTTCTTCGTAGAGCTGGAGATATCCTAAACAAGGATCGAACTTGAATCGAACTGTGTCGTCTTTGTATGAAGCTTTTACAATAATCTTGGACTCGCTGTCAACCGAGCCAACTTTTTCTGGCAAATGCTTCCTCTCGACGCTCTGACTGCTAGATGAACTGCCATGAATCATTAAGCCAGAGCCATTTGATGAGTCGGTCATGCTCGAAGTAGTTGGCTGGTAATGTTCATTCAACACGGTACCGACTTCATCAGCAGCTGCAAAAGAGATCAAGCTCTTTGCCATAAATTGGCAGTCGGCATCTCCTGATCTCAAATCGTTCTTCACAAAATCCAATCTGTCGCTTTTTTTAGCAGCAATAGAAACTGAGGCATTCCCTTGGACATCCCAACTCATCATATCCAGATCAGCAAGCTGGCATGATGCAGCATCTACACCAGCGGACTCCAAACCTTCACTACAATCACGCTGGCGAACGTTCGGTTCCTTCTCTGGAATGAGAACACTCCTCGATGACGTTCTTTGGGATATAGAAACAGAAGACTCGTCCATTTCCAGTTTGATGGCAGAATTCTGAGTATTGAAAGGGGCAGAAGGAACTGAATTTACGTCGTGAAGGAACGGGTCAAGGTTTGGTATAGCTGGGTTATTATCAGAGAAGAGAAGACTATTTTGTGCATTGAATTCTGGAATAAGAGAACCAGCCATAAGACACCCTGTAGTTGGATCAAACTTCAGGCCGCCCTCCACCCCCTTCACAGAATCAAGAACCGTCTGTATTTTCCTTAACGAACGATTTACCTTGTTTATCTTACGGGACGGCCACCTCAAAATCCCGTGTTGTCTGCATATTCTTTTCAGCGTTGTTGGACAAACTAAAAATGCCAAAAAAAAAAAAAAAAAGAGATATTAGTAAGTGGAACGTATAAAGTTTCTTCTAAACCCTTATGCCACGACTAGGCTTAAATGGAGACATTAGAGACATGTTAGGAAGTAATTTGAAATGGTTGAAGTCACTATTGTCGGATTTAAAATCACTTGAAAACATGTTTTTAGTACTTCAAAATCAATTTCCATGATACGAAAATCCCAAACACATGGCTAAGTCCACAACGTTGCATACGTTAACTGTACAGCATTAAACTGTCACCTAACAAAGCAGAGGGATTTCACAATCAATGACTAAAATGTATAGATTGTTGTTATTAACACCTTAGACAGTACCTTAGTCCAAGGCCCTAACTAGTACAAGTAAACTTCGAAAATGTAGACCACCAGGGCACTTCCTTTTTACTACAGAGAGATCGGCGCCATCTTCGGGAAACTTTTGGCTCGTCCACTTGTTTTATAGACTACTTGGTCGGGAAGAAACCATAACCTTTTTTAATCTATATTAGTCATGAGAGGAGGTTTCAGGTTGATGGATTTCTAAATCTCTGGTTCATACTCCAGCACTCAACAGCGACCATTTCTTAAGTTCTGTTCTGTTGTCCAGCGTTTGTTGGCCATTGGTTTTTTTTCATGCGGCCTTTTTTTCTATATTTTGATTTATGTGAATGAAAGATGGTCGTTTATCAAAAATAAGGAAGAAATAAAATACGCGGCTCACCACCAATGCTCTTTGCTGCATCCTTGAGACTCCCAGAAAAATATTGCTGTAGAACACTCAAGCTCACGTTTTTTTCGGATGTGCTACGTTTTTTCTCCCCCTGCTTCCGTGATCCATCAGTCATCTGCAAGATAAGGCGCATAAGTAACTGTTAAAGATCAATCCATTGCTTGTTCATAAATGTGCCAAAACTTGAAGAAAATAGCAAAATGGAAAGAACAAGAGAAACAATAGAACAACACATAGGAATACAGGAACAAAATAACCTGCTTCTCAGGACATTCCGCTTCAGCTCCATTATTTATCGAGTTAGACACCCTTGTTTCACGGTCTGTTACCGTGGATTGCGAGTTTCTCATTGATGTAGTTGTGGACTTCCCAATTAATCCACTCTGAAAGTCAACAACAGAATCCTCAGCCCCTATTAGTTCTTCCTTTGAAACTGTCCTCAAACTCCTGCACATTCTTTGCATGGTAACAGAGAGATTGTTTAACAATAGTTGTTGTTCTGCAGCTCCTTTCATATTGACAGGTAGAAAGAATTCAAGTATATAATCATCGTTGCCGGTGTACATGCTTCTCAGCCTGATTGCAACTGCAGCATTCAAGCCAAACTTGCGTGCGTGATGGACCAGCGGATATTTATTAATATCATATGCCTTCACGTCAGGATAAAAGAAGGGATGATTAGATTGAAGAGCTTTCCCAGCTATCCCTTGCCCTTCTTCAAGATGATGCTCCAAACATGCATGCACAAATCCTTGAGTTGATTTGTCATTCACATAACATGCTGTTTCCTCGATACATAATACAAATTTCTCCTCTGGGTTAATGTTGTTCTCCTTAACACGAACTCTTGCAACCTCATCAACGGCGTCCAAAGAATAACAACAAGGAATCCAGGTTAGGGCAAGAGGTAGTCTATGTGCATGACATACAGCACGTAGCACGTCCACTATCTCTGCCAATGCAGCTCTCTGGTTCTTCTTCAAGCACTGTAATAAATATTTCATTGATATAACTAAACCCGTAAAGATGTAGAATTGAAAAAGACTAATTACGAAGACCGCTATTTCAACTTCTCTCTCCCCCTCACTCGCAATCTCCCGCTTTCTCAATCTCTCTCCCCCTCTTCTACTCTTTCAACTTATATGAATCGGATAGTTCATTAAGCATTCCATAGGAGCAGGTCCATAGAAAAATATGACCGTCCACCGCAGATAATTAATTCGGAAACATTCAATTTAAATCAATTGATTCATTGAGTATTAAAAGCAAAAGCTTAGGAGAACTAAGATAAAATTGATCGATCTTTATATTTAACCTAAATAATCACTGAAGAGTTATTACATATTGCTATAAGGAAAGTGCAGAAAAAACAAAATAATATTGTACCTGCGAATAAAGTCGAGGAGGCGGAACAGTGCTCAAGCTAACAGTCTGCAACGGTCATGATCCAAAGAGATGTCAACAATATGGTCAATAGAACCTCATGGTATAATTATTCATAAAGCTCAGAAAAAAGTGGAATGCAAGAAAAATATCACTAGAAAACAGCAAATGAGATCATTTGTAACTATTTTATATCAGGAAGTTACAGTAAACTAGTGCATAAAGAGAACTAACCTCTAGTGCTTGGGAAACAATGTCGATTTCTGCATCAAAATTGGGCTTCTCCTTTGTAGTAACAACTTCAAGTACGGCACAGCATGATTTTTCGACTTCGTTATTGAATACCGGTAAGGCAATCGATCCATAAACGTCATGACCAATTGCATGTTGCATTCTCAGATACTCGTGGTCACTGTAATATCTAACATTTGATGTCCATTCTGGGAGTTTGGAGGTGAAAACACGACCAGGAAGCCCAAGGAGAGAACCCAGTTTTCCTTCTGCTGAGAATGTAAACGACCTCGACACTTCACGGTACCCTGTGAGCATTTGATCAAGCAAATATGGCTGCTCGCTGGTGCTCAAGAAGAATTGGTCTCTACGCTTCACAGGAACCCAAACTTGAGCCAAAATACCTCCAGGTGATGACTCTTTAAACATGGATAAAACCCTCAGCATTTTCTCATCAAGTGACCAACCAAACGGCCTAGAGATCAGACAGCTATCCATGTCTACAGGGACATCATTTGATTTAGAATCTACTTTGTTAGCGTTGTCCGAAACATTAGACACCCCAAATTCAGTGTCTGGCAGGTGAAACATCACCTTGTCCCCACAAGTAAAAGAATTCGCCATGGAAATGGAAGATCCACCATGTTCATTCAGAGGAAATCCTTCATGGCACCCTCCTTCTACAAAAGACAAGCCCTCGATAGAACCGCAAGTACTCATTTGGGGTATCGATGAAAACCCACAAGATGTGAAAATCTGATCGATTGCAGCATAAGAATCAAAATTCATCATGTCAGAGAAGGAGGGGAGGACATCTTCAGGACTCAAAATCCTCATTCCAGCGTCAGTGGAATTCATAGTTTCGGCGTGAGTTCTGGAAGGTCCCCAATACCCCATCATCCCTTCCTCCTTGGACGAAAAGGGTTTTTCCATTTTGGTTAATCAAGATCAATTTCAGAAATCAAATGGCAAGTAATGCTAGAATTCCATCCAACGACAGCGGCCAAGACTTATACTCCTAAGCTTACTATCCTTCGCCATTATAAAGTTGAGAAAAACATCCATTATATCCCCCCTGCAAGCCCGCATACCCTGAAATTAACCGCCAAACACAATTACAAAACTACACTTTTGCGGAAACTCCCCCATGTACCAACAAAAACAAAAAGGAAATGCCATAAATCGAAGAATCAGAGTTCCACCGCACCAACACCCTTATCTCAAATCAGCAGAATTCGAGGAAAAGGGAAGTTAAAATACAATATCAGAGCATTTAAAAGATGACGGATGCGACAGCAATTCACTGACGAAAGCAGCCAGAGATGTGAGTTATGAAGAATTAAAAAGAAAATGAGAAGAAGAAAGCCGGTTACCGACTGAGAATTCTATCAAAACCCAGCAACCTAAATCTCAGCAGAAACGCACAGAAATCCAGGTATAGAGATAAAGATGGAGATTGAGAAAGTCGGAGTCGGTCCCTGATGTGAGAGAAACAGTATTCTCCTCCATACAAGGAAAAAAACGAAAAACCCTAAAGAGAGAGAGAGAAAGTGGGCGCCATTGCGGCGCGGACCATTGCATCAGAGCGATTCGCTTGGCGTTGGGTTACTGTAAATAGAAACTTTTGTCGCCGTTGAACACACTTTGCTCATAGATAAAATCTGGGTTTTTTCATGGTTTAGATCCATACGATCTCACAATAGATATGTTTGACCATTTGACTGGTTAGAATATCTCTAACCATTTGACAAAACACGTCAAATCACACCGTTTTAGACGAAAATTTAGTAGAGAGTGTTTAAACTATTTTAGGATAATTTATATTTATTCCGAATTTCCGTCTTTCTCTCTTTTATTTTAAATATTTTATTTTTCTTCTAATAACCTCTCACCGAATTTCTGTGGCTGATTATCCAAAAACAACATTTGCAGTTAGGAAGGAAACAGTGAATGGCCTTTAAGCAACCTTTACGAGCTACAGATTCAAAAGGAATTGCAGAGAAAAACAGAGAGATACAGAGAGAAGAAAGAAGTGATTCGGGAAGGACGTAATTACAATTATGCCCTTTACCTTTTTTCTTTTCTTTTTATAATTATCTTAACAGATCTTCCCATCCTTTTCAATTTCCTTTTTCATTCTATTTTTGTATTTCTTGCCTCATTTGGTTCCCGCCCCAATTTAGAAACTTTTAAATAGGGCTCTCTCTATTTACTTGTAAGTTTGAACCCGAACATTTAACCCGAGAGGACGAGACAGAAAGTCGAACCTTTAACATTAGAAAATGTTTAAGATATGATTACTTATTCGTGAGTTTTAACCGTACGAGGTTAACGAGAGACGGAAATCGGTACCTTTGACACTACAAAATGGTTTAAAAATAATAATTCAACCAATATCCACGTTTACGAGTGTATAGTAGAACAAATGGAGGTAGGGTTGAGGATTTAAGGGAGAGGGTAAAAGAGTAATTTAGGGAAGAGGTTAGAGTGATGACATCTGACAGAGGAAGATAAGGGGAGAGGATTTTGAGGAAGTTTGTTAACAGAAAAATAAAAGAACCAGATTCCCATTTCCCAGACTCAGATTCAAAAATTAGGGTTTATTGGAGTTAGGGGTGATCTCTAATTCCCATATCTTACGTCATTATATTTTCTTCTTAATATATACACGTATCCTTTCCCCTTCCACGCGTCCCCCAAATATCAAATTTCTTTTTTTTTTTTTTTTTTTTTTTTAA